TATTCTCCTTCCTTCTCCCCTTCTCTATTTCTATTTCTATTTCTATTTCTATTTCTATTCTATTCTATTCAGATCAAAGTACTAAAAGTACTAATATGGCTTCCAAAGCGGACATCAGTCATCTATCTATTCTATTCTATCCTGTTCTATCCTGTTCTATGTTGTCTTCTCTTCTCTTCCTTTCTATTCATTATTCTATTCTTTCCCGATGCAGCACCTGGAACAAGAGAAACACGAGCTCAGGAGGCGCTTCGAGAACAAGGAAGGGGAGTGGGAAGGCCGAGTCTCGGAGCTGGAGAGCGACGTCAAGCAGCTGCAGGATGAGCTGGAGAAACAGCAGGTTCACCTGCGGGAAGCTGACCGGGAGAAGACGCGGGCGGTCCAGGAACTATCTGAACAGAACCAAAGACTCTTGGACCAGCTCAGCAAGGTGAGGGAGGGCACCTTGGCCATGGGGGGAGGGGAAGGACGGTTGCTGTTGACGTGGCAAGACTCCGTTGCAGTTGTTGGGGTCTCCGTTGTCCCTTGAACATCATACACGGTGGCGCAGTGGCTAGAATGCAGGACTGCAGCTACTTCTGCTGACTGCCGGCTGCCAGCAGTTTGGCAGTTCGATCCCGACCAGCTCAAGGTTGACTCAGCCTTCCACCCTTCCGAGGTCGGTAAAATGAGGCGACCCATATTGTTGGGGGAAAGAGGCCGACTCATAGAGAGGGTTGTAAAAGCTCTGTGAAGTGGTATATAAGTCTAAGCGCTATTGCTATTGCTTTGCTCTTCCTTCCTTCCTTCCTTCCTTCCTTCCTTCCTTCCTTCCTTCCTTCCTTCCTTCCTTCCTTCCTTCCTTCCTTCCTTCCTTCTCTAACCCCTGGGAAACACTATAATGGTCATAAATACGAGTCACTTGCCAAGCCTTTGACTTTTGATCTTGTCATTATGGGGATGCTGCATTGGTCACAAGTGTGATAAAAATGGTCAGAACTCACTTTTTTCAGTGCCGAAAACTTCAAACGGTCATTAAGCGAACTGCGGCAAGAGGAGGACTACCTGCACAGCACCCTTTCTTGATGTTTGCTTACCTGTCCTACGGTTTAAAAATATCTCCTTATCAGAAGTTGCTGGATTTTGTTGTGCTGGTTTAATTGCTTCCAGAGCTTCCAACCTGGGAGAAGCTGAGCTGAGTTGAGCCTTGGATCTCAAAATATTTTTTTCACAACATTTGCTTACGACTTTTACGCTCCTGTAGCTTTTCCTAATCTCGAAAAAAAGCAGCCGCTGCCAGTTTTAACCAGGCAAATGCACTCCAATGGCCCCACAGGTCCAATACTTACTTTGGAGGGTGTAAATTTGCACAAAAGCCAGCTGTGGAAGCTGATTTTTTTTCTCCCTGAGTTCTAAACAGGAAGTTCTTGACTTACGGCCACAATTCAGCTGAACGTTTATGTCGCTAAGCAAGGCAGTTGTTAATAGAGATTATTAACAACGTTAGCGTGAATTGGATCGATATGAATGATACCTAGTCAAATTTGTTCGTATATAATAGAGAAATGTTTAGATTGAACAAGAAAGATATAGATAGAGACAAAGATGAGGAATTAGACATTTTTTGTTTATGTATGTTTGAACAATATAATGAGGATTACTTAAATTTGATAAATGTGATAGAAATTACTAATATTGTTATTGTGAATTGGATTAATATGAAAAAAATTGGATCAGAATTGAAGCATTAAAGAGATGATGGATGGAAAGAATTGCCCTTTAAATATTAAAGTAGCCTGATTATAAACTGAAAGAGGCAGAAATAAAATTAGATAGGGGAAACTTTAGAGCATAAATTTTTATAGAATGAATAAAAATAATAGAAAGATTAGAAGTTTACAGATGTTAGGCCTTTTTATTTAATGTATGTTTAAATAATATAATGAGGATTACATAAATTTGATCAACGTGACAGAGATTATTAACAATGTTAGCATGAATTGGATCAATATGAATGATACTTAGTCAAATTTGTTCATATATAATAGAGAAATGAGGAGTTAGGCATTTTCTGTTAAGCGAATCGCACCTCATTTCATGAACATTATTGTCACAGCGGTTAAGAATCTACAGAGATTTTCAATCATCCAAGTCATGGTTGTCCCAAAGGTGCTTTTCCCAAAAGGCAACTGGATTTTCTTCTTTTTTGTTTTGTTTTTTTCTTTAAAACATTTTGACTTTAAAGTTGGCAACTTGAAGACTGGTAGACTTCAACTCCCAGAATTCCCCAGCCATCAAGCCTAGGTGGAAACATGCTGGTTCAGAAGAAAGCTTTTCGACAAAGACTGACCAGGCCTAAAAATTCAAAACAAACTGGGTTTGAAAAAGCCAGGAATCCAAGTTGCTGAAATCAGTCGAATTGGTTAAGGAAAAGTTTGTGCAAATCTTCCTTTCAGTGGAGCTGGTGACAGGGAGCCAAGCTCTCCGTGACAAATTATGCTTAAATTGGATGAAACTGGGTTTGTTGTTGGTGGTTTGTTTGTTTGTTTTGTTTACCAAGAAGAGTTGGACCAAACGATCATTTCTCACTAGGAACCCTCAACCTCACTTAGCTCCGCTAATCTCCTGCCCGGTTAAGCGATGTGCTGCCTTGGTGCTCAGTTATAATCCTGCAGCTCACTTAGTAACACATATGGTATGTGAAGCTTCTGGGTTTAATCTCAGGTCCAGATGGAACTGCCAGCTTGTTCCTCTGTTCATAAGCTCAAATTTGAAGCGAGGCTCCAACTTCAGAAATTAAATGGTAGTGTTCTGATCCATCTCCCCAAACACGACAAACCCCTCTGTATATAAATCAATGATTCCTTTATTAGGAGCGCCAGCGACTCCGGCAAAAAGTTTCTCTCTCACCGCAGGCTAACAAATCTGTCTGGCAGGGAGAGGAATAGTTGTCTCCCATACCTATTCATCTCCGCCCCCTGCCTTTTATCCCCAAAACTAGGATGGGGCTTCGCTAGCAGCAGTGGCTCTTCCAGCCCAAGGACCGGCCCATAGATTTCCACTGCTCTCCTCTCCTCTGCCTTCTGTGCATCTGTGCATCAGGCACTGGACCCAGGACCGGCCCATAGATTTCTACTGCTCTCCTCTCCTCTGCCTTCTGTGCATCCATGCATCAGGCACTGGGCCCAGCTGTTCCTCCTCTTCCTCATAAGTCACGTCCAGACCTGGGGGCTACTGATTCTTTATCTGACGGCTGATGGACGGCCCAGGCTCTGCCTCTGTCTTTCTGTGTGCCAGCTCCATTCCCTCTTCTTCCTCCTTGGAGCTCTCAGGTTGCCTTGAGGCTGGCCCTGATTCCCACATCGCCTCTTCCTCCTCTGATTCAGCTACAGGAGAGGAGAGGAGAGGAGAGGAGAGGAGAGGAGAGAAGAGAAGAGAAGAGAAGAGAAGAGAAGAGAAGAGAAGAGACGAGACCTTGGAGGTCTTCTAGTCCAACCCCCTGCTCAGCCAGGAAGCCCTATACCATTTCAGACAAATGGCTCTTCTTAAAAACTTCCAGTGTTGGAACATTCACAACTTCTGGAGGCAGGTTGTCCCAACGATTGATTGTTTTAACTGTCAGAAAATTTCTCCTTAGTTCTAGGTTGCTTCTCCCCTTGGTTAGTTTCCACCCGTTACTTCTTGTCCTGCCTTCAGGTGCTTTGGAGAATAGCTTGACTCCCTCTTCTTTGGGGCAGCCCCTGAGATATTGGAAGACTGCTCTCACGTCCCTCCTTGTCCTTCTTTTCTCTCGACTTCCTGCAACCGTTCTTCTTATGTTTTCGCCTCCAGGCCTTTAGTCATCTCCGTTGCTCTTCTCTGCGCGTTTTCCAAAGTCTCAACCTTTTTTTTTTTTTTTTGTAACGTGGGGACCAAAACTGGAGGCCGTGTTCCGGATCGGGCCTTCCTAAGGCTTTATAAAGCGGTACTAATAATACTTCACGTGATTCTATGCCTCTGTTTATAACAACCAAGGATCGACCTCCGTGTATGCTTCCCTTCCCTCTGCCTCCCCTCCCTTCCCCAATGCTGGCTAGATGACGTGCCTTCTGTGTGTCGTTTCCCCCCCCCCCCACACACACACATTCAGCTCATCAGAACAGCTCAGATCATGCTGGGCACACCAGAGATGATCAATCCCAGCCAACGTCAGGACTAAAGGGCCGTGCTCCCTCACCGGTCGCTAGGCGACCGTATATCATCGTCTTCCAGGCAGCTGCTGTTGCCATGGTAACCCCATGGTGGTTCCTGGTTTTTGCAGGGTGTTTTTTTGGGGGGGGGTGTTTCCGCTGTACCGTTACGGCGAGCCTGGGGATAATGAGGGAGACACGGACAATGACGTTCAGAATGACTGGGAGCTTTGCGAAAGCCTCCGCCCGTCCTTTCCTTTGCATCACGGGCATCCTTCCTGCTAGTAACATGCAGCTGGACACAGTGGCAGAACACTGACCCTCCGAACACCGGTAGTCCTCGAGTTAGGACCATGCTTGAGCACAACATTCCCATTGCTGAGTGAGACCTTTGGTTCAGTGGGTTTGGTCCCCATTTTCTGCCCCGGTTTTTGAAGGGAATCACTGCAGTCGATCAGTTAGTAACATGGTTGTTAAGTTAATCTGCCTCTTCCCCAATGTCGGAAGGTCACAAAAAGGGATCATGGGATCTCAGGACACTGCAAACCATAATAAATATGAGCCAGTTTTTGCGCCGATTCACTGTTCTCGCTGTCAGGCAATTCCTCCTTAGTTCCTAAATGAATGACCTAAAATGGACCCAACATGACAAACCAGCTGAGACATGCCTTCTGAAGTCCCCGGAGGAGATTGAAGAGAAGTTCATTCAATCTCCGTCTCATTTTCTTTTCTCTCTTTCGGGAAGTCCTTTGTCCTCAACGGCCTGGTAAACAGGAAAGTGTGCAGGAGTCGAAATCCTGAAACCCATACATTTTGACAGCTCAGTGTTAATTAATGATTAATTCTTGATTAATTGGTGGTGAGATGTAAAGTTTTACATTTAAGTGAGAAAACTCAAATGCACAACTGCAGAATAGGTGGTACTTGGCTCAACAATATTGAATATGAGCCAGCAGTCAGTCCGTCATTCATTCGTTCGTTCCTTCCTTCCTAAACTCCAGACCTTCCTTCCTTCTCTTTTCCCTTTCCCTTTCCCATCTTCCTTCTTTCCTTCCTAAACTCCAGACCTTCCTTTTCTTTTTCCCTTTCCTACATTACTTTCTTCTTTCTTTCCTTCCTTCCTAAACTCCAGACCTTCCTTCCCTCTCTTTTTCCCTTTCCCCTTCCTTCCTTCCTTCTTTTCTTTTTTCTTTTCTTTTCTTTTCTTTTCTTTTCTTTTCTCTCCTCTCCTCTCTTTCTTTTCTTTTCTTTTCCTTCTCCTTTTCCTAGGCCATACTCCCTAGATTTCCTGTTGATTTCTCATCCGAATATTAACCACATCCAACCCAACGTAGGTTTTCAACATATCCCAAAGTTTATTAGTGCTATTAGCAAACTAAAAACATGCCTCCCTTAAACGTGAATTAAAGTTACGGTGTCTTCTTATATTGCAGGCGTCGGAAGTGGAAAGAAAGCTTTCCACACAGGTTCATGTCCTCCAAGAGGACTTCAGGGAGAAGAGGTCATCCACCAGCCAGCACATAGTTTGTCTCGAGAGCCTTCAATCAGAGGTGAGTCTCGTCCAGGATTGGGCAATCTCAGAAAATCCTACTCTACCATCAATTCAATTTAGTTTATTACGGAGATCAGAAATCAGAACAAATAAAAACACTCCGTAAATATGCCATTTAAATTTCTAGTATAAAATCACAAATAACAGTCAAAACCTATGGATAGTCAACCTCTCAATGGAAGGGAACTTCATCTCCCAGAATTCCAAGCCAGTCCCCAAAAGTTTGGAGATCTCCAGGTTGGAGAAGCTTTGTCTGAAGGTGGCTTTGGAAAAGGGTCTAGGACAGGGGTGTCCAACCTTGGCAACTTTAAGCCTGGAGGACTTCAACTCCCAGAATTCCCG